ACCCGGGTGCAGGACTTCCCTCCCGCTCCCTGTGCCTGTGGATGGACATGTACAGCAACCCAGCATGAGGAGGGCTGGAGTTCCAGGACCCAGACCCCTCAGGAGGAAGGTTTGGGTCACACCCCAGGCAAGTCATAGGGGTCCCCATCCTTGAGCTGGGAAATCCATGGCAGCCCCTGTGCAGAGGCCCCCTTCCCACGGGCTGTTCCCCAACCTTGACCGGGCACTGCAGGGACCCCAGGCAGCCATTCCTGGGGTCAGGACCTCCTCTGATGCTGACAGTGGCTCAAGGACTGTCCTGTGGCCTCGCTCAGCTTCACTGAGCTCGCCCAGTAGTGACCTAAGACATGTCTAACAAACCTCCTCTTCCTGACCATCAGATTGGATCTGGCTCTGCTGGCTCGCCCAGAGAGTTCTGGCTCCCACTCCATACGCTCTGACAGGTGTCCCCCTGGTACGCACTGCTGAGGGCAATCCCACCTTAGAATCTGCTGCTTGGGGGACTCAGACTAACAAAATCATTTGCATCTCTCTGCCAGAGATCTCTTACCCCATCAGTAAAATCCTTCTCTTTCCCCAACTTCTCCACCAGCATCGGCTCCCTTGTGCTGGCCTTTGTATTATCTTTCTGAGGTAACAGATGCTTATGTTTCAAGCCACTAAAGTTCAGGTTAGTGCCTTGCTCTGCAGCGAATAAGTCACAAGGCTCTCTTTAGTTTCTTTTAGTCTGCATCGCTGATTCCTTGCACTTGGAAAATGTCACCTGCACTCACTATTTCCAGTTCCTCTCCTCCTGTTCTCCCTTTTATTCTGTCTTTTCTCCATTCTCCCTTTTCTCTTTCTTTTCTTTATGCGTATTATCAGATGTCTCAACCATCCTATATAATAAAACCCTAATGTGCGAATTGACCGAACTGCGGAACAACCAGCAGAATGACCAGTCACTATGAGGTGCACTGACCACCAGGGGCAGACGCTCAGCGCAGGAGCTGCCCCCTGGTGGTCAGTGCACTACTACATGGTTGCACTGCTCAGCCATAAGCCAGGCTCATGGCTGGTGAGTGCAGTGGTGGCGGTGGGAGCCTCTCCTGCCTCCATGGCAGCGCTAAGGAGTAACAAGCCAATCAGTAAGGAGGGAGCAGGCGGGCAGTAATGAGTGAGCTGGAGGGTGGTTAGGAGCAAGGGGTCCTGGACTGCAAGAGGGTGCAGGCCGGACTGAGGGACACCCCCTTCCTCCTGTGCATGATTTTGTGCACTAGGCCTCTAGTATGAAATAATACTCTGTGATTATGCTAAAGGAAGAATTACCTGGGTGTATATGTTAAAAGTATAAACACAAGAGATATGGAATAAAAAGAAAGAAAGAAGTAATTAATGGTCTGAAAAGAAAATGCCCAGGTGATTCTGCAACCAAGGACCTGACAATCCACTTTTAATGCTTCTATTTAAGCTCAGGTTGGTTTATTTTCAGAACAACTATATCAGCAACATAAAGTCTTCCACATTCCTGGTTAAAGTTTAAATTGGCACTCCCACTTTCAAATCACATGAGCATCATCAGGTCTGGCTAAAGTTACAGGCCTCACAGGGTCCAGCATTGCCATCCCTGACCACCCCCTCTGGGGAATTCCTTGCTTTGTGCCCCAGGAGACATGTACACTAATGTTTGCAGCAAAAACTGGAATGACCACATATTCATCAATAGGAAAATAGCAAAATTTCAGTATAACCATCTATAATAATAAAAGTGTAATACGCTAACTAGTCCAGACGTCCTTCTGGATAACCTTCCAGACAAAGCCTGGGCTGTGAGCACCGAGGCAGAGGCAGCCACCACAGTGGTGGGGGCTGAACCCCTTGCACCAATTTCGTGCATCAGTCCTCTAGTAAAATATAAGACTTCAGCACTAAAAGTGTAAGGACAGCCTCACAGATGAGAGATGACCCTTATGTAATGCTGAACCTCAGAAGACTCCATGCAGTACAAGTTCACTTTACAGGAAATTTAAAGCCTTCAGACCATGCAGCCTGACTGACAAGTGACTGCAACCTTGAGAGACGCCTGAGCCAGAAGCACTTAATGAGCTGGTGAAACTGAAAAACATTCGTTTGGGAGATTATATATATTAATTATAAAATCTTTAGGGAGTCTCAAGGGTGTAAAAAACACAAGACTCAGAACAGAGATTACATCTAGGGGACAGGGCTGTGAGTGTCAATGCCAACAGGAGTACCCACAGTGAGGTGGACTGAGGACACTGTATTCACTGCAGACAGCTAGATGGTAATACAGCTCGTCAGCGAGACCAGCACAGCTGTGGGACAGCTGGGTGTGATACAGCAGGGCTGTACCCTCTCTGCCCGGAGCGTCTCACCCAATTGCTGTCAGGATGGTAAGGTGGTGTGTAGACCGAGTGTAAGATCCACATTTTTCTGACTAAAAATCGGTTTCCTGACACACAGGTTTTTGAAGATGCTGAGTACAAAAACTGACATTTTAGCCAATATTTTTACATTCTTAATGAACTAAATTAGAAAATTCTGAGAAATAGCAAAGAATTATTTTAAAGGCATTATTGTTATGGAGCCCAGTCTTTAAACTGTGTGATCTAGCTCCCATGTGTTCTCAATGTTGTTGCCACTTACTGTAGGGAACATTATTACTAAAGGCAACGCTAAGAAAAACTTACAAATATTGTTGTATCTCCTTGCTCTGTCTTAAACTTTGAATCATACTTTTCAAAAGTGAAATTTAGAGCACTGAATGAAATAATCAGATAAAGGAAACACTGACTTACAGAATCCTGAAACAGCATGTAGTGTGAACTTTGGTTTTCACATGTGTGTGAATTCTGTGACACTCCCCCTTCCGGAGGTGGAGCAATTCCCTCCTCTTGAGGGTGGGGGCTGGACTTGCTCACTCACTTCTAACTGAGGAGTAAAGGCTGATGTAATGTGTGTGACTCTCAGCCTAGGACATTCACCTCACTCACCTTCCATGCAGGTTGCTCTCTCTCATCACTTGCTGTGGGACAAGAAGCTCTAGTCATTCACTGCCTTATGGCTGAGTCCCCATGGCTAGGAACTGAGGGCTCCTGGGACCATCCAGGAAGGAAATCAGGCCTCTGCCAACAACCCTAGGACTGAACCATGTTTCAGTGGGTCCTCCAGCCCAGCCAGCCTTCAGACCATGCAGCCCTGGCTGACAAGTGACTGCAACCTTGAGAGACGCCTGAGCCAGAAGCACTCAGGACAACCCCTCCTGGGATCCTGACCCTGGGAAACTGGGAGATAACACACATTTGTTGTTTTTAGCTGCTGAGTTTAGAGTAATTCTAGCTGAAAACATGACCAATACAGTGTCCAAAGAGAGAATGAGTGATTGCACTTAATTTTCATTTGTTCTAAATTAATTATATGATACTAGGGGCTCAGTGCACGAATTTGTGCACCTTGAAAGGAATTGTGGGCCACAAGGCTGCAATGGGCACAGGCAAAGGTCTTGGCCCATCTTCAGTGCTCCCGCCCAGCCCCTCCATCCATGACCCAGTCCCCTGTCTGCCCGCAGCCCTGCTCACACATGCCGAGGGCACCGGCCCTGCTCACACCTACTGAGTGGCCCAGAGCAATTGGGGCCAGCAACAGCAGTTGGTATGATTGGGGCCGGCACTGTCAGCAGGTGTGAGGTACCCTGATCGCCCCTCAGGAGCAGGGGGAGATGGAGAAACTCTCCGGGCCAATAGAGGCCGGCAGCAGCCACTTGCACCAACTGACAGAGTTGAGCAATCAGGACTGGCACTGGGTGCCAGCAGTGGGTGCAAGCAAGGCTGGTGCCAGCAGCAGGTGTGAGCACTGGGCGTTATCATGGAGCATGGAAGCAAAGAATATTCAGTAACCACCAGAGGCTTGCCCCAATGACAGTGACCGGCGCCGGGGCTTTGTCTGGCTCCCCCAATCATATGCTCCACCATTCCCCAGCATGTTCCATGCACGCCCCCTGGTGGTCAGCACACTTCATCGTGACCGGTTGTTCAGTTGTTCGATTATTCCGGTTTTTCCGCCATTCTGTCTATTTGCATATTAGCCTTTTATTATATAGGACTAGAGGCCCGGTGCACAAAAATTTGTGCACTGGCAGGGAAGGGGGGTGTCCCTCAGCCCCACTTGTGCCCTCTCACAGTCTGGGACCCCTCGGGCGATAATGACCTGCTGGCTTAGGCCCACTCCCGGGTGGCAGAGGGCAGGCCCAATCCCTAGGTGCAGCCCCTGGTCAGGCTCAGAGCAGGGCCGATTGGGGAGTTGGGGCGCTGCCCCCTATCATGCACAGAGCAGGGTGGATCGGGAGGTTGCGATGCCACCCTCAGTCACACTCAGGGTAGGGCTGATTGGGGGGTTGGGGTGCCGCCCCCTGTCACACTCAAGGCAGGGTCGATGGGGAGGTTGCGGTGCCACCCCCTGTCACGCACAGAGCAGGGCCGATCAGGGGGTTGGGGAGTTCCCCCCTGTCACGCACAGAGTAGGGCTGATAGGGGAGTTGGGGCACCGTCCCCTGTCACGCACAGAGCAGGGCCCATAAGGGGGTTGGGGCGCCGACCCCTGTCACCCACAGAACAGGGCAAATCAGGGGGTTGGGGCACTCCCCCCTGTCACACTCAGAGCAGGGCTGATGGAGAGTTTGGGGCTCTACCCCATCACACACAGAGCAGGGCCCATGGGGGGGTTGGGGCGCCTTCCCCTGTCACCAACAGAGCAGGGCGGATAGGGAGGTTGTGGCCCTGCCCCCTGTCACACACAGAGGGGTCAGGGCAAGATCCCAGGTCTCAGGCCTGATCTCACGGTTCCAGCTGGAGGGCAGAGACTGAAGCGGGGAAACTCAGTGTTGGGGAGTCCCCACCTCCCCGCAGTTTCACTTCTCCTCTCACAACCTGTGTGGGGCCCTCCTTCCTGGATACTCGTGACAGGGCCCCAGTTCTCACTCCCATTGGGTGTCAGGTGCTACAGAGCCAATCAGGGTCACCTTTGTCCCCAGTTATAAGTCTCTGCGGACTCACCAGGACTCACAGACTCCCCAGACCAGGAGGATGCCAGTCATGGGGTCCCCAGCTCTCCTCCTGCTGCTCTGGGGGGCCCTGGCCCTGACCCAGACCTGGGCCGGTGAGTGCGGGGTCGGGAGGGAATGGCCTCTGGGGAGGAGGAGCGAGGGGGCCCGGCGGGGGCGCAGGACCCCGGGAAAGGACGTCTCCACCCCCAACTCCCCGCCCACACCTCAGACCCCACCCCGTCCTGACCCCTCACTTCTCCGTCCCGCTGCCCCTGTTCCGTCTCCTGGGCCCCTTCCTCTCCTGTCCCTCCGACCCCGCACCCCGAACCCGCGCCGGGAGGAGGGTGGCGGGTGTCAGCCCCTCCGCTCCGGCCCCCAGGCCCCCACTCCCTGAGATATTTCTTCACCGCCGTGTCCCGGCCCGGCCGCGGGGAGGCCCGGTACCTGGAGGCCGGCTACGTGGACGACCTGCCTTTCGAGGGGTTCGACAGCGACTCCGAGAGTCAGAGGGCGGAGCCGCGGGCGCGGTGGATGGAGCAGGAGGAGCCGGTCTATTGGGACCTGAGCACCCAGAACGCCAAGAGAGACGCACAGAGTTTCCGAAGGAGCCTGCACACCCTGCGCGGCTACTACAACCAGAGCCGGGACGGTGAGCCACGGGGCCCGGGGCGGTCACCACCCCCATCCCCACGGACGGGCCGGGGTCGCCTCGAGTGTCCGAGTGCGAGCTTCACCCCCATTCCCTTCCCCCATACACACCCGGGAGGAGCCCTCGGAGACCGGGACCCGGTTTTACTTTCAGTTTCTGTTTAATCCCCGCGGGCGGGGCGGGGGCGGGGTTCAGTGGGCGACGCTGACCTCGGGGCGGGTCAGGGTCTCACACGCTCCAGGAGATGTGGGGCTGTGACATGGGACCCGACGGGCGCCTCCTCCGCGGGTACCGCCAGTCCGCCTACGACGGCACCGACTACCTCGCCCTGAACGAGGACCTGCGCTCCTGGACCGCGGCCCACACCGCAGCTCAGATCACCCGGCGCAAGTGGGAGGAGGCCGGTGAGGCTGAGCGAGTCAGGAACCAACTGGAGGGCAGGTGCCTGGAGTTTCTCCACAGAGTCCTGGCGATGGGGAAGGAGGTGCTGCAGCGCACAGGTACCAGGGGCCTGGGGCCTCCCTCCTCTCCCCTGGGGCTGGGGCTCAACAAGGAGACAGGACTCAGGGTCAGTGTCAGACCCCCCACCTGTGGGCCAGGAGACTGAGTCCGCCTGGCTTTTCAGATCCAGTGACGCCCTCCCTTCTCTCAGGGACACCTAGGGGTGCAGTCTCTCAGGGACAATTAGAGGGGAGACCAAGCCTGAAGTAACTGAGCAGTGGTTCCCATTGACCCTGCAGTGTCTCTGGGACCCATGGGGGACTTGCTCTCTCAGGCCCTGCTCCCTGCCCCTCACCCAGTGTATCTGAGGTCTGACCCCGACTTTTCTGAGTCCTTTGGCCTCCACCCAGGTCAGGACCAGAAATCCCTTTCTCCCCCTGAGACCTGCCTCCCGCCCTGGGCTGTGTCACTCTGACTAGAACTTTCTAAAGAGGATAGACCATCCCCAGGTGCTCTGTCCAGGCTGGTGATGCTTGTGTGCTCCCTCGCCCACCCCAGGTGCCCTGTCCACGCTCAGGTGGTCACATGAGAGCTGCTGGAGGGTCCCCTGACAGTGCCAAGTCCCTGAATTTACACACCCTTCTCCTCAGACCCTCCAAAGACACACGTGACCCACCACCCCATCTCTGACCGTGAGGTCACCCTGAGGTGCTGGGCCCTGGGCTTCTACCCTGTGGACATCAGCCTGAGCTGGCAGCGTGATGGGGAGGAGCAGACCCAGGACACGGAGTTTGTGGAGACCAGGCCTGCGGGGGATGGGACCTTCCAGAAGTGGGCGGCCCTGGTGGTGCCCCGTGGAGAGGAGCAGAGATACACGTGCCATGTGCAGCACGAGGGGCTGCCGGAGCCGCTGACCCTGAGATGGGGTGAGGAGGGGCCTGGGCACAGAGCCTGGTCTCAGGGAAGCAGGGGCCTGTGGAGGACTTCAGTGGGGTCGGGGCTGAGGCCTGGGGGTCAGGGCCCTCACCTCCCCTTCCCTTCCCAGAGCCGCCTCCTCAGGCCACCATCCCCCCTGTGGGCCTGGTTGTGGGCCTGGTCATCCTTGGAGCTGTGGTCACTGGAGCTGTGGTCACTGGAGCTGTGATGTGGAGGAGGAAGCGCTCAGGTAGGGAAGGGGTGGGGCCTGAGTTTCTTGTCTCACTGGGGGTTGCCAGCCCAGGTAGAAGTGTGTTCTGCTTCATTAATGGCAAGTACCATCCCCACACGTGTGGTTGCCCAGTGTGGGGCCCTATTTGCTGACACTCACTCTTTAGTCAGACACGTGTGGAAATGAGGGACAGATTTATCACCTGATGATTCTAGTGATGGGGCCTGGTTCCCAGCACTCCCAGGTCAGGGTGGAAGGTCCCTGCTGAGGACAGACCTCCAGGAGGGTGGTTGGTCCAGTCCCCACACGTGTAGTTTCCTCAGCTCCTGCTCTGGGTCTGTAGTTACAGTTCTGGAAACTTCTCTGGGCTCCAGGACTAGGAGTTCCTTTAGGAGCTCATGGCCCTGGGTCCTCCCTGTCTTCTCATAGGATGTTTTCTTCCCACAGGTGGAAAAGGAGGGAGCTATGCTCAGGCTGCCAGTGAGTATGGAGGGTGACCCCTGAGATCCTGTGATAGTACAGACTGGATCCCATGGGGAACCTCACCCCCATAGTTCCTCCCTTAGTCCCCTCTCCTGGGGGCTCTGACTCCATCCTGTTTTGTTCTACCTCAGGCAGCGATGGTGCCCAGGGCTCTGATGTATCTCTCTCGGCTTCTGAAGCTGAGACTCTGATGATAGCAGGGGTTGGGGCGAAAGGGAGAGGACTGGGTGATGGGGACTCTTTGGGACATAGTGAGCCTGCAGTGGGCTGTTGAGAAGGTCACTGCTTACAGCCACTGAACTGAGTTTGTTCATGATCATTTTCTTCCACAGCCTGAGGCACTTGTCCGGGACTGAGTGATGGGAGATTTGTTCACGCTCCTACTTTGTGATTCAAGAACCTCTGATTACTTTCTGCAAACGGCATCTGAATGTGTGTGTTCCTATCAGCATAACGTGAGGAGGTGGGAGGCTGGCCCACCCCTGCCCACCACACCCCCTCCCCAGCCTTTCCTGTCCAGTAGAGGTGGGGCTGGCCCTCCCCATTCCTGTTTTTACTTCCTGGTGCGCTCAACTGCAGCTTCTTACTGCCTGATTGAAATAAGAGTCTGGATTTGCATTCTTCTTCATTTCTTGCCACGAAGGGGTGATGGGTTCCTTAAAGGAGAACAGCCCGGCTCGTGTGCCTCAGTGGCTGAGTGTCCACCCAGGGACCAGGAGGTCATGGTTGGATTCCCTTTCAGGGCATATGCCCAGATTTCAGCTCAGTTCCCACCAGGGTCATGCATGTGAAGCCAATGGATGTTTCTCTTTCATCATTGATGTTTCAATCCATCTCTCCCTCTTCTTTCCTCTCTCTTTGAAAATTAATAAAAACATATTTTTGAAAAAAATTAAAGGAGAAGATCCTAAAATTTCAGAAGAAATAAATGGAAGCCCCAAGAACTGGTCAGGACCTGTGTGTTTGCTGTGCTGAGGCTGTTGCAGGGGGGACAGGAGAGGCTGTGAGGACCGAGTGTGGTCAGGGCTATGCCCAGTTGGCTCTCTGGTCTCTCTTCAGCTGGGTCACCTCTCTGCTCCTTTGTTCTTCTCACTTCAGGAGAACCTTGTCCCACCAGGACTTTCCATCACAGGGACTCAAACCTCCCCAGGCCTTGTAAATTGTCCTAATGAGGAAGATCTCCAAACCCGTGGGCAGCAAGGCCTTCCTGTGTCCGGGTCAGCCTAGGGCCTAGGCTCAGGCCTGGGTCCTGCCCTCATCCCTTATCTTCTGGGACTGTATTTGTTGTTTCTTTGTTTGTGTAGAGCAGTGGTTCTCAACCTTCTTGCCCTTTAAATACAGTTCCTTATGTTGTGACCCAACCATAAAATTATTTTCGTTGCTACTTCATAACTGTAATGTTCCTATTGTTATGAATCGTAATGTAAATATCTGATATACAGGATGGCCTTAGGCGACCCCTGTGAAAGGGTCGTTTGACTGCTAAAGGGGTCACAACCCACAGGTTGAGAACCACTGGTGTAGAGGATTGTGCCTGTTTGTGTTCTTGTTATGAGTTTTGGTCTCATTCTTCTTTTGAGTGTCCCCTATCCAACATCAGCAGAGATGAGTTGTCTGTCATTGTGCCCACAAGGCTCAGGGGTCCCTGCACAGAAGAGTCCATGGTATGGAGAGATGAATTTTCAGTCTCATCCTGCTCTTGGCTCCTTCTAGGAATTGATTGTTCTTTTCTATCTTTTCCTAAACTCTCCAAGGAACCAAGTTCTGGAATTAGCAGGGAGGAGGGGTCCTGTAACTGGTCATCTTAGATAAGTTCCTATTGGAATTCCTCTCTGCTCGCCCACCCTCTCTCCCTGCCCTTCCCTCTAGCACTGGCTGCAGTGGGAACCCTGGGATTCCTGAAGCAGAGTCTCCTGTAGATTCAGGGAGAGCCGCTCTGTGGGAAGCACAGGTGCCCTGATGTCAATGTGAGAGCTCGCTGTGCTGTAGCTGCCACAGGACAGCTGTGGTCTGAGGCCACGTTAATGAAGACGTGTCTCTAGCATAGGGAGGTGCTCTACACTGACCATTCATGAACCAGTATTAGTTGTGTGCCAGATGTGTGACAGTGTTTCCGCATGTGGGGACCATTGAAGGACAATCAGAAAAGCTGCTTTCCTGTGGGACATACGTTGTGTGGGAAGAAACAGAGTGAATGAAAAAGCACCGTAAACAAGGAAGGCGTCTGTGTGACAAGGGGTAACGGTTCTGGGAAAAAATGCCATGGGGAAGGCAATCCCAAGTGTGGCTGTGGGGGACACAGACCATGGGTGTTTTGTTGTTTGTTTTTAATATATACACTGAGTGGCCAGATTATTATGACCACCCCTAATTTGCCTACAAAATTTGTGCACTGGGGGATGGAGGGTGTCCCTCAGCCCAGCCTGCACCCTCTCTAATCTGGGACACCTCGGGGGATGTCTGACTGCCGGTTTAGGCCTGATCCTAAACCGGCAGTTGGGCATCCCTCTCACAATCTAGGGCTGCTGGCTCCCAACCACTCACCTGCCTGCCAGCCTGATCACCCCCTAAGCACTCCCCTGCCCACCTGATAGACGCCTAACTGCTCTGCTGCCGGCCCGATTGCCCCCAACTACCCTCCCTGCCTACAAACGTAAGGTGATCATAATAATTTGGCCACTCAGTGTGTGTGTGTGTGTGTGTGTGTGTGTGTGTTTGTGTGTGTGTGTGTGTGTGTGTGTGTATTATTATTTCAGAGAGAAAAGGAGAGGGAGAGAGAGAGAGAAATATCAATGATGGGAGAGAATCATTGACCGGCTGTCTCCTGCAGGTCCCCTGCTGTGGATTGAGCCCACAACCCTGGCATGTCCCCCTGACCAGAATCCAATCCAGGACTCTTCAGTCTGCAGGCCATCGCTCTATCCACTGAGCTAAACCAGCTAGGGCATGTCTGTTTGATTTGGGTGGCCAGTCAGTGGGGGCCTCCCTGGGAAGGTGACCTTGAGGAAAGCATTGAAGGACATGTGGCATTATCCCTGAGGATGTAGGAAGTCCTTTCCAGCAATGGCACCTCCAGTGGGAATGGCCTGGGACAGGAGTGTGTCTGGTTTAAGAGGGAGGAGGCCAGTGTGGGAATGGAGCAGAGAGTAATGGAGATGAGATAAAGACAAGGCCAGACCTCCTGAGCCTGGAGGATGGAAGAAGGGTGGGGGCTGTGCTCTGAGTGAGGAAAGAGCCGCAAGGGACTTAGGGCAGGAAAGGCCTGGCATGATACCCTCTTTAAAGGATCACTGTGGCTGCTGAGCTGAGAACACGTGGGAGGTGAGGGGTCAGTGGGGAGGCAGGAGGAGTCTGTGAGGGGCTCCAGGCTGGAGAGGCTTCCAGGGGTGAACAGTGGAAATAGTGGGCATGCTGGGATTCTGGTTCCTTCTGAAGATGGACTTTAGAGCGAGCCTAAGGGTTAATCTGGGGCATTCGAGAGAGGAATCAAGGTCACCAAAAATCTCAGAGGGTACACATAGAGAGACAGAGTTCCCATTAGCAGAGATGGGCAGACTCTGGAGCAGGCTATTTGAGGGGCATCACAGGCCTTCATTTTAAGAGATGCTGGAGCTGAGTGTCTGTTAGCAACACAAGGGAGTCATCGGATTCGCAGTTGGACAGACCAGTCTGGAGATCAGGAGAGATGTTGTTTGGAGAAACAGAGTTGGGAGGCGACACAGGTAAATGACCTTTAAAGCCTTGAGAACGGACAAGGTCACCAAAGGACTGATGGCTACAGGAGACCAAGGGAGCAGAACTGAACCCTGGACCCAGTGCTGAGCCGTCTGGTTAGACCACACACCAGAGCCGACTGCACTGTTCTGTCTCCGGGTCTAGAAGGCACAGGGCCCACGGAGCCCCCAACATTCCTGGGCTCAGGAACAACCTGGACCTCTTGTTGGCTCAGGACGTCAGGAGCAGAGTGTGAGAGTCTGGCTCTATCCCAAGGTGCTGATGCTGCTGGTCTTCAGATCCACATTGAGTAGCGAGAACCCAGACCAGGATCCCCGTGTCTGTGTGTCAGCCTCGCCTGCAGGGTGTTACACAGGTGGTTCCTGTCTGTGCCTAATTCTCTGGGTCTGTGGGTCTGGGAGAGGCTGGGGGTTTTGTAAGAAGCTCACAAGCAATCCTGGGGCTCAGCCAGCCTGGGAACCACTGAGGCCAGTGCCAGAGCTCAGGGTGGGGAGGGCTTTTACATCCACATTTAAAGGTTTTCATTTTTCCTAAGAAAGAGAAGGGAGGACATTCATCACCAGTTATGAGACATGATGTTGGGAGTTACATGTCATTCTCTCTGCCATTGGGTAGAGTCAGGTGGAAGACTTAGGACATGGGCCCTTGGTCCCTATTATAACATCTCTGAAGGCTTTCTGAAACTGTTCCCCAGATATATTTCTTGAGCAAACAATGGAATCACAAGGGACCACTGAAGGCCAGGACAGCCTGCTGCTTGGGTTGGACTCAGACTTGGCAGGGGGTACTGGCCCAGTTAATGGGACCCTGGAAACCCCAGGACTTTGGGACCAGGGCTCATCCCTACAGGGGCAGCCCAGCCGTTTGCTGTCTGTGACCCGGAGGACCCCTTCCAAACACCAGCAGGGGGACCATGGCACACCCTCCCCTGCTGCTCTCCTCCCTGAAGCCTCTACCCCTCTGTGTGCTGACTCCCCCCATCCTGACCTCCTCAGGGGCATCCTTACCTTCCCAGGCCTGACACCCTAGCCCTACCCCATCCCAAGCTCTGAGGCAAGCGGCACTAGTTCCCAGGAGGAAGGTATTCTAGCTCCAGAGGCAGCAGCGGGAACAGGCGACATGTTCTTGAGTGTCCAAGGTCCCATCTGAGAGACTAAGGACTCCTGGTTTGATTGTGGGGTGCAGCTGGACCTGGGAGCCAGCGGTGATGGCCCAGGAGACCTCGCTCTGTCCTGAGGCAGCGTCCACGGTGACTCAATGGGGAGAAGCATCAACATCAGTGTGCATTTGGAGAAACACTTTGCACCCTGAATTTGACATAGGACAGGGCCCCCCTTCTGTGTTCAAAGCCCTGTTCTGGTGCTGGGAGCAGAGGGAGACCCTGGGAGGTCCTGGCTGAGAAAGGGGAGCTGGCTCTTCTGTCCTCAGCCCTGTGGCCACACGGGGGCGCCGAAGCGCTGCTCCCAAGGCTGCCTGCGCCCTGGCAGGGGCTGTGCTGTGAGTGGGTCAGAGGGAGCTGACTTGAAGGCAGGGCATCCGCGTGGGGGCGGGGTGTGGGGTGGGGGGTGGGGTGTGAAGAAGCTTTGGCGAGCCTGGGCTCCACAGTGTCAAGGTCAGGACAGGACAGGGATTGACTAAGAAGAGTGCTCAGGAGCCAGGACCCATCTCTGAGGATTCCATCTCCTCACTGTCACCCCTCTCTCCAATCCCTTGAGGACAAAACCATAGAAACCTGAAAAGTAGAAACATGTTCTTCTATTCCCTATTTTTTTGTGATTTTTTTCAAACTCAGTTTCAAAATAAAATCATCTCTTATTTGGGAACAACATCTCACTGTCTACACAATTTTCCACAGTGAGGGGATGCACATTGGGACTCGTGGGGCTAAAGCACAGCTCCCCAGGGCCTTCTGTCCCCCAGAGGGACAGCAGAGGGGCCCCTGTGCCAGGGGTCACTCCTGGAGCCCCAGAGGTCACAGCTCCAACCCCAAGCTGTCCCTGAGACCTCCTGTGAGCACAGCCCCCCTCTCAGGGTCCAGAATGAGCGCAGGCACATCCTCTAAGACCCTCTTTTCCCTCAGGCATCCACCCCCTGATCCAGAAAGGCTCCACACACTGGAAAGAAGACCCGGCCACCCTAAACCTCCTCATCTCCATC